AAAAAATAAAAAGACATGAATGAACATGCATAGGCAAAAACAATAGTTTTTTTTTTTTAAATCACCAATACATTTTTAGTTTTCAGGATTTTTTTTACCAAACATTGTATAAAGATAATTCTTAACTATGTTATAACACAGTTATTTGATATACCATTTTTCTTTATGCAAAATGTGTGTAAAATGGCCATAAACAGGTTTTCTCATTATATATAATGTATCTATAAACCAAGTCTAATTTGCATATTAATGTGTTTTTGGGGCAACGTGTAATGAAAAAAGAAGTGTACTAATGGGAGTAATAATTGACAAGATTTTCATAATAATATATAATATTTCATAGGAATTTTGAAATATAATTTCTTTCCCTATCCATTTGTTGTGTCTCCCAAAATGCGTAATAAACATGCTTTTAGTCCCAGTGTCCTCATATGAGGACATGTATGAAATCAACGTCCTGTTTCGTAACAGAAAGTCATATTTTGATTTGAAACCCCATAACATTTTCCTGAGATGTTGATTTATGACACAGTTTAAAAATTAGTCAGATTTAAATGCTAATGACAAAATATTTGTATAAGAGTATTTCCATTGTATCATATTTCCATAAGAGTGTCACTAAATTCATATCAGACATTTTTGAAGACCAAGGAGAGGGCGTGGTCATGGTGAAACATCCAAACATTTAGTATCTCTGAAAAGCCCTGAAACTGTGGCATGTATAGTCTCAGAGAAATTCACTCATAATGTCCTCATATGAGGATGCAGGGTCTCAGGAGGTTAAAGACCTATTAATGGCCATTTAAAAACCATTAATCTCATAGCATTACTTATGCAATTCTAACTGCTGTTTAAATGCATTTATGCCACCTCTAAACAGTCTTGTGTAAATATACTTAAATGTCACTTCAGATGCCACTTCTGAAAACAATATATTCTTTACAATATTCTTTTTGTAATGTCTATTCAATGCTTTTCTTATCTAACACAATAATGACATACGCTTAATTTGTGATTAATTAGAATAATGAGATGTTTAAAACTCTCATATACTCACTGGACTGTTGAGAATCATAAGACACTGGTCAAAATGGTGGTGCTCCATTGTGGAGTGGCAGTACAGCTGGGCCAGTGGATGCTCACTTCTGTGAAAACAGTCAAATATGCCGCATTATTCATTTTTACATATCCATCTTGTTGGTAATAACACAAGCTGATCCACCAAACTAAAGTCAGTACAAACCTTTTGATGTAGGAGTTGTTGACACCTCGGTGGTCCAAATCATGGCTCAATGTTGCAATCATTAAAGCTAAAACCTCCAAATCACTCAGATTACTCTGTAAATTAAAACACTGCTTTATAAAATGATCAGTCTTCTATGGGATTGGTTAATGTATTGAAAAGCACTGCAAAATATAGCCATGCTGTCCAAAAACAAATGCAGTCATATGTAAATCCGAATAACTATAATTACTTTCTGGTAAACAGGCAAACTAAATCCAATTAGACTTTAGCTGGCATGTCAAAACAAGACTTAACTAATAGTTCTCAATTCATAATTCATAAAACATCAGTAATACAAATAATTCACAATAATTTGTGATTGTGAATAATTGTAACAAGTTGACTCAACACGCTGTTCTTCATAGACTATTCAAAGAAAGCATGCGTTTTCCATTAGTCTAAAACAAGTATATAAATGCAAATGATTAACTACCACTGTAAACAACAGAAGACATTTATAGTGGAATGCATAATAAAAGTGTTCTGCTAGTTTCATATTTTTGCTTGTCACTATAAACTGGTTTCTCTATAAAAGGAAACAGCCATTTTCAAAAGAGCAATTACTACAAATATTACTACATAATATTTTTTAATCATTACTACTCTGTATACTGTACTTGTGCTAGCAGTCTCGAATCCAGAATTGCACACCTTAATATGAAGATCAGCAAGCTTATATCCTAGTTACTGTTCAGTTACAAGACAGACTGACTCGCTATGTGTTAATAGGTGTCAGTATGGTTACTGATTTGTGCTATTCTGGACTGAACTCAAGTTGAAGCTGTACGCCAGACGCCACAGTGCTGATGTGAGCCTTGCCTGTGTGGTGTTTGTTATCAGAGCCACTGACCTGAAACCGACCAGACTTCAGCACAGCAAACATGGACTGGGAGGTGTTGAAGGCATGTCGCCAGTTGTGGTAGACCACATTCTTCCTGTAGTTCTTCTTTACACTTAAGATCCACTGACACAAACTCTGGAACAAGGTTAATAGTTATTTTTATAGAATCAAATAGAGTGCTGCAGGAATTAATATGTATATACATACATATATATATATATATATGTATATATTTATATATATATACGAGCTTGAATTTTTGCACTTTCAATTCCATTGTCCCAATGTCAAGGTTTTTGGTTAAATTCCCCAAATAAGGTCTATGGTTAACACAAGCTCAAGATATTTTCAAGTTTCATTCTCCGTAAAATGAATGCATCAGTGATACCACCATTGTAATTTTTTAAAGCTTTTACTTATCTTGTAAAAAGCGGTTGTTAATAAGTGGCTAAATGGGACTACAGAGGTTGTTGGGCATATTAAATATCATCATGGCAAACAGGAAAGCTCATCTTCTCACTAGACCACTTTCACAATCTCATGTCTTTATAATCACGCTCATGCAAACTATTCTAACTCAAATTTTCAGGGAGAATATAGACTGAAAGTGTTGTCAGAAGCTTAGTGGTGTTGATTTTAAAGTCACAAGAGCAAGGTGTAGTTTGTTTGTTACTTCTGGAGATTGTATTCAGGTTTCAACATTCATATAAGTCAAGTCACCTTTATTTGTATAGTGCTTTATACAATACTGATTGTGTCAAAGCAGCTTTACAGTGTCAAACAGGAAAATAGTTTGTCAATAATGCAAGACAATAACAAAGTCAAAGAGTCATTTTTCCAGATAAAGTCAGTTCATTGATGATTCAGTGATGTCATCATCCAGTTCAGCTCTCTTCCAATAGTGTCTGTGCAATCAGTCAAGCGTCCCCAACTAAGCAAGCCAAAGGAACCAAAACTCCATCGGTGACAGAAATGGAGAAAAAACCTTGGGAGAAACCAGGCTCAGTTCGGGGGCCAGTTCTCCTCTGGCCAAGTTGTGAATACTATCATAATGAAAACAAACCTCTAAGAAGCATGCACTTTTTTTTTTGCTCACAGGGCTTATTTTCTGCAATAATCCGAAAGGCAAAGGAAAAGTCCTGTCAAGGAAACCAGTGTAATACTTTTGGGCTGGCCTACAAAAATATGTCATCGGTGCAGCGCTCTATAGATAGAAACAAGGCAAAATGACAGTGTTGTCCTTAAAAGTGGAAAGGTAATTACTTTGCTATTATAATTGATTTAAATTAAATCACTCTGAATGAAACAGGATGTTGAGGTGGAATTTGGACTAAAACTCACATATCTATTTAATGTAGTATCTGAAATCATAAAGAAATCAGAAATAGCCCCACTGACTTTTTAAATACACATTCCTGGTCTTATAGTGCATGCACAATTCAGCAGTGCATGTTAATCTTTCAACAAAAAGTAAGATCACATGGGCTATGGGTTAATTTTGATCTATATCTAAATTACTATTTATCTGTTTTAGCAAACTCACATTTAAGTGTTCCCTCATTCTTGTATGTAACACCAACATTCCACATTTCAAATCAATTCTCAATAGATATAATCAAGTTTTACTAAACCTTTTTTCTTTTCTTGTTGGATGTCTAGTCACATTATAAATGGGTTGTGAATGATAAAGTCTCATAGGTTGCCATTTCATGTTAACTTGAAACCCAATATTTTATTAAGTAAATGTAAGTATTTTTTTTTTGCTTACATTCTGTTATTTCATTTTATATATATATATATATATATATATACAGTGGGTACGGAAAGTATTCAGCTTGTTGCATCTTTCCCAATAAGACTCATGGCTGTATTAGATCAAAAGTGTGCTTCTACTAAATACTGAGCAATGGGTCTGAATACTTAGGACCATGTGATATTTTAGTTTTTCTTTTTTAATAAATCTGCAAAAATGTCAACAATTCTGTGTTTTTCTGTCAATATGGGGTGCTGTGTGTACATTAATGAGGAAAAAAAATTAACTTAAATGATTTTAGCAAATGGCTGCAATATAACAAAGAGTGAAAAATTTAAGGGGGTCTGAATACTTTCCGTACCCACTGTATGTATGTATATATTTATTATAATTTTTTTGTTGTTGTTGTTGGACATCATCATGGAAAACTGGTGCTTTCCAAAGTCAATGCTTTGTGATAATTCTGTCACGATTATTTTCATCCAGCCATCCACTCTCCAAGCCGCTTAGCCTCTGTAGGATCACAGGGACGCTGGAGCCTATCACAGCGTCTCTGGCCGCAGGAGGGGGACACCCTGGACAGATGGCTAGTCCATTACAGGACTTTTATTTTTTATTTCTAAAAATATATTATTCACAAACGTATTTAAAAACCAAGATTAATTTATCTGAAACTGAAAGCATCCATACATATAAGGGCTACCCAGATAAAATCAGTACGCAGATAAATTCAGGTGATCTCAACACAACAGCTTTTTCTAGGCCACTGATGACTGGTGACTTCATGTCATGTGAGTGTGCACAGTGACTGTACACACAGTGTCACTGACATTCTTGGTCAAAAGTGCCATTCATTTATTTAGGTTTAAAACATGTAAAGTGGTTTAGGTTTAAAATGTGTAAAGTTTGACTAGAGACAACTTTTAAAGATACTAATTCTTTACACAGTCCTGAAACACAAAGTAAACTTCCCACAGTTAACATGATTCATTTCTCCAATAAAATGTCAGTCTGGTGAAATGTATGCCTGTGTGCTATGTTCTGTTGACATGTGATATGTATATTATCAGAGCAGCCTGTGATTGATCAGGGCTCTGTACTGTGGTGGCCTCTAGTAGACCTGCTTTCATTCACTCAGTCAGGGGTAAGTCACACCCAGAAAACCAATAAAAAAGGGAGACTTCATGTCCTGCCAGGGAGATACTTCTCCTAAGAATGAAGGCCATAAAAGGAGCTTGTTGCAGCCGGTCAAACACAGAGTGAAGCCTGATGTTTTGCTTTAATAGTCAGCTGAACCTGATCTGGCAATTACAGTTCAAACTGCAGGAGAAAGAGGACTGCTCTTCATTTTCTTCTTTGTGAGGGTGTACTGAATGGCTTTCACAGAGCTATTTGCAACATTTATTTATAGTTGAGCAAACAGATTGCTTTTGCTCAACTTTTGGCTGCAAAATTACAAAACTCTTCAGCTATACTGTTATCATCAATGAAAAAAAACGCAAAAATGTGCAAAACATTTAAGTTTTTTTTGCACTGTGTATAACACCTATTTTGTTTAAGATTTCTTCTTTTTTTTCGATTTTCTGAACAAAATATGTTTAAGGGCTATTCCACCCAAATTTAAAGTGATTATCCCTTTAAGTATAGAAGAAAACTCAGGTGTTGTGGGTAGTTTCCAGAGCATGTTGGCTATGTAATGTGATTGCTAAGGTTCTCTGATTGGATTTTAGCACTGTTATGTGGTTGCTTAGGTGTCAAGGCTTAATCAGTGTTTTGCAGTGATTTTAGAACAGCTAAGGGCATTGTTAGGCATGACGTGGAGCAGAGTTAAGTGTTCTAAGTGTGCAGAGTTAGGTGCTCTAAAACATAGTTATTACATATGTTTATAAAAAAAAAACAAGTATAAAAAATTTTTTTTTGAAGTTGAAAATAAAGCATAGATTACTAGAGTAGATTTTTACAAGAAAATAGTTTCAGTCTTTATACTTCAAAATTGCATGTTTAAATCAACGTGTTAGTTTCTTTGTAATTATTTGTGAAATTTACTAGCATTGTCAGAGTGAAAATTGTTTAAAAGTCAATCTGGCAAGGGTTTATAAAATAAGCACAATGAAACAGTAATACTAATGTAACAAGTTCACAGGTGTGTGTTTTTTCTGAAGAGATGCACCGTGACATAATGCTTTTGTCAGTGGTTGCCAAGTTGTTAAGGTGTTCAGAGGGGTTATTTAGTCCATAACGCAGTCGTTACAGCGTTATGGGTGCTTTCTAGGTGGTTTCTACTTGACCCAGGTCAAATGAGCTCATCCCCAATGCCCAAGTCTATTTGACATTTGGGTCTCTATATATGGCTGTTGATTTTCAGTGTAAGTCTATTCATCTGTTTTTCATCCATTTTATCATCCAGTGAAAATAGTAAGTCTGATCATTTAGAAAAGAAATAGCACACCTCCCCACATTAAAACATGATTTGACATATTATTCAAGACAAACATATGGGACGAGTTAAGAGTTTCAGAATCAGAATCAGAATCAGAATCAGAATGAGCTTTATTGCCAGGTATGTTTACACATACGAGGAATTTGTTTTCGTGACAGAAGCTTCCACAGTGTAACAGAATGACAGTGACAGAACAAAAAACACAGATAATAAAAAATAGAACAAGTAAATAAGGAATAAAAATATATAAATTGACAGTTGTATGTGCAGGTATATTACAATAGACAGTTTTGTATGTTATAATGTTTTAGTGTAGTAATGAGGCTTATGGGTTTGTACAAACACCTAACCCCAGGAATAAGAAATAGTATATACTACAACTACACTCTAAAAAATGCTGGGTTAAATACAACCCAGTGCTGGGTAAAATAGGGACAAACCCAGCAATTGGGCTGTTTTGACCCAGCGGTTGGGTTAAATGTTTAACCCAACCTTCTGGGTAGTAACCCAACCACTGGGTCAAAACAACCCAATTGCTGGGTTTGTCCCTATTTTACCCAGCACTGGGTTGTATTTAACCCAGCATTTTTTAGAGTGTACTAACAAATAAAATAAATGACTAATGGTAAATGAACTAAATTAACAACAGAGTCTAAGCAGGTACCTTGTACTTCATCTGAAAATTCTGCACAAGATTGAGGTCCACAAATATGCGGATGGTTGCTTGTGTCGTCTCAGCATCCGTCAGGTCAAAATCACTGAAGCTGAAGTCCAGCAGTTTGAGAGACTGAGCAGAGGGAATCGTAGCCGCCTGTGAAGTTAGGACAGGCAGCTATATACATTACACCTTAAAACTCAAAAACATTTTTTTCACAAACAAACAGTTGCTCACATACAGAGCTGTGTTAATCTGTAAACACACACACACACACACACACACACATCTGAACAATCACACTAATTCACTCACTCAACAGACAACCAAACTGAAAGGAAAGAGATCACTGTCTGTCAGGCATAAATAATCAATGAGCTGCGATCAGCATAGTTTGCAGTGCGCAGGATGAGCATTTAGCTGTGCTGCACTTGATTTGTCTTCTCGTGCTGAAAAGGGTTCATCGCATAATGCAGAGCCCATAAATAATGTCTCTCTTCCTCCTGTTGTTTTTATGTGCTTAAGTAGAGAAACAGAAACCACAATCACCTGCAGAGATAACATAATTTTCATATAGCTTTGTCTGTTTATGATTAACTACAATTCAGGTATTAATAATGATAAAATATATACATATTAGTGGTTAATATTCTTTTCCATCATACTCAAAATGAAGCATATGTTTAGGTGTTTTTACATGCCTAATGAATTACGCAAACAGTGGTAAATCTGCATGCTGACCTTTGCTTCATAAGAGTAATTGGTGTTATTAACAAACAAATGACTCTCAATTGAAGCAGAAATTCAGCCTCTGTCCATGTCTTAATTGCCTGATTACTCTCACAGGCCTAATCAGAGCAGGTTTTCCTTATCGACAGCTGAGAGTGCCGTATCCAAGCAACCTGTGCTCTCTGGGAAGTTCCCTGAGGGTGTCTGAAGATAGGAAATTCCTGTTTTCTTTACAGACTCTATGTAGAATAAGACTCAATTGAAGCAATAAAAAATGCAAGACAGCAATTTTAGCATGTATACGAGGTTTTCGTAAAACAACACAAAGCATTTTTAAAAGTGATACAAGACAAAAATGTTGAAAAATAAAGCCATTGAGTTTGGGAATTGATAGGCACGACCACTGCAAACTACTTTGAAACGGCAGCTTGTCGAGCTACAAAGATACACATACAGATATGTTACTCTTTTGAAAAAGTAGCTGGCTAGACTACTAGCTAGCTAACTACATTACAGGGCTAATATCTTAAATGAATTAAACTTGCCAACATATGAAATAAATGTCCAGGCGGGAAAGCACACTGATTCTCAGGCTTGCCTGGCAGTAAAGCTGTTTCCCAATTTGTGCTACTGAAAATGTAATTCATTTAGCAGGGTTGCTAATTTTAAGCTAACTACTGCCCAGCATTTTGCACTCTGAAATACCTGTAACACCTTTAGCCTCATTACATTCACAAAATAAAGGGTCTCAAGGTCTCAAAGGGCTTATTGTTTTTATAAACCTATATTATAAAATTATTGATATTTTTACTAAGCTTCATTAAGTGCCAACTGCTACAAGATACATTCCTTTATAAGTTAATAATGACAGTTTTTCTGTGGGTGCTGCACAGTATTATACACAGTAGCAAAGTGAACAGGTGTTTCCTGTCATATCTGTTGCTGATGGCCTATTACTGTCTTTTTACATTAGTAAAACTTTTACTACACAATTAAGATTTTAAGGACAAAAATATTAATCAAAACTCTATTTTACTAATCAAATGCAATAAGTGCCATCCTTCCCCCAAGAATATACTGTATAATCCATAAAGAGAATGTTGATATACAACAATCTGCTATCAGTTTTGCACAGTGAAATGGCGAACAGGTGTTTCACGTCATATCTGTGACTATATTATAGTATGCTTGTATGTGTATATCAGCTATGTAACAATGGCTTTAAACATGGCTCATCCAATCATATTTCAGATAAATTGATATTTAAGGAAAAAGTAATCCTTACAACATCATTGTTTGAATAACACATTTAAAATGATGGTGGCACATTTCGATATGATATGATGAGAAATTGTAATTTACCGCAGTTACCTGGAGCGCCCGCGTCTCTTCCTCTGCAGCCGAGGCATGATAAGAGAGGACCTGCGTAAAATGCACACACAGCCACATTATGTTAATGGGATTGCAAAGTTTATGTTCTGAATGGCATAATATGTTTAGCTTATAGAAAGTATACTACAAAGACATTGCACATTTTAAGTATGCATTTGGGACTACATTTGTCTGAACATCCTGTATACAACCAGAACATGATTTGATTTGACTGAACTGACATTTACATAAAAAAAGATAAGGACAAAAAATTTCAAAATAACCCTTTTTCTGAGATAATAATGAAAGAAAGCAATAAATTCATATGGGTTTGGGATAAATGAGGGTGAATAAGGTAGAGATCATTACACGATTTAACAACTTGTGAGGTGAGTCTCAACTTAATTAAATTCTATTGTATGTGTAGAGACTGATAAAAAGAAATAAATTAATCAATTAAAAAACAGAAAGCCTTGGTTTTATTTTCAACCTGAATGGCTCAGGGAGCATAAAATAGAAGATATAAACCCTTCGAACCCTAAAGAAAATGACCGCCTAAATTATTCTAATCAATTCAGACTTTCATTATAGGGTTTATACTGTGCACTTGTATTTGGCCAGCACCACAATGAGGATCATTGTTTAGCAACTTGATGTCAGTTAAAAATACATGAGAAATTATAAAATAGGAGAATTACTTTTTGAGTTGAAATTCACTATTATCATATATACAGTCATGGCCAAAAATATCGGCACCCTTGGTAAATATGATCAAAGAAAATGGTCCATTTAGCTGTGTACTATTTTTCAATTTTGAACACCTGTGTCTTTTTTTTTAATAGTGCTGGGCGATGGAGGATGTGAAGTGAGGATTATGACAAAGGAGAACGCCTGATGTGGAGTGCAGCCATTGTGTCAGCTGCAGGAGACAGCATGCCACCAGCGCTTCTGACTGTGACAGCTCCAGAATGGTAGGATGAAAGAAAATAGAGGAGTGGGAGGATATCCGCCATGAGCCTATGTTTAGCAGCAGATAAAAGGGGGTAAAAAAATCCTACATCTTTTAAAATATGAGTTTAAAATATTATAAAAACTAAAACTCAAAATGTCTTCAGTCCTGTCTCAGTCCAAAAAGAGCATTTATTAAAAATAAGCTGGAAAACTGCCCAATTTTCAGAGATCCAGTGATGTCACAATCTTGAATAGCCTATATGAATACCACCCACAAAGTAAGGACATCCCTCGGTGCCCAACCAGTCACAATGAACTAATAATGAGGCTGGATGAAAACAATGTACCTGATTATTTCAGTCCAATTCGATTTTCGAACGGGGGGAAAAATAAAATGATAAAACATATATTTGACTGTGGAAATATGCTGATGTTAGCTGCCATAATTTATTTTATTATAGCATTTTTTTATATTTGTTAAATGTATGAAATCACACTCACCTCAAGTGTGACCTCTTGCTTGGCCATTGCTCTTTCCACTGCTTCGTACATCTGTGTGTTCTGGATTCCCAGCCCACAAAAGATAGCAAAGGCCTCTAGAAACTGCTCATCGTTCCTATTAAAGGCTTTTACTTCCCCTGAAGCTTCATCCATCTTATTGACCAACTGGCAGACACCTGCATTCAGAGGCCATAAAAAAAAAAAATTATATAGCACAAGGGTGTTCATATTTTTGTGGACACATTATTAAAGTTGAACAGTGATCATTTCATTATGTGAATATTTTGCACAAAAAATTTAAAATGTACTTTTCAATCAATTCTCCATTTACGGTTATTCTCTTAATCATCCATCACAATGAGAAAAACCAAAGAATATACAGGTGCATCTCAATAAATTAGAATGTCGTGGAAAAGTTCATTTATTTCAGTAATTCAACTCAAATTGTGAAACTCGTGTATTAAATGGTGTTTTATTAACAAGGTTCGGGAGGAGCGCGTCAGATACTTAGCCTAATTAACACAGGTGGAGCGCACTCAAGTTAATCAACACCATGATATAAATACAGCTGACTTACCTCTATCCATTGACGGTTATCAGCATTCGGTTTGCACCTTTTGCCATTATATCTCAGACTCAGCTTCTCCCATCTAAACGACGAGACCTATACTGGGGATTTGTCGGTTCTCCGGGCAAACTGCCGGCCCCAGGATCGCTCGTTCTCCACCAGACACCGCCGCCGAGCTCCAGGCTTCATCGCGGAGGCCACTGCTCCCTGCTCGACCAGCCACACGCTCTCCACGACGCCGAGGCTTAACCTCGCCTCTATCGGCGTCACTTCCATTTTTCCGCTGACATCTTATCTTTTGGCTGAGCCTACAATTCCTCCAATCGGAAAGCGGACCGCATTTAAGCTCGAGGCAAACGCTGATTAATTCCGACTCACCGTCCTCGCGAAGAGTAAACAAAGTGGATCTGTACTATCCAAGTTATTCGTCTCCGAGCAATCAGACAACCTCACTCCCAAATCTACTCCAGCAGAGCGGCCAATATTTCGAGCAAAGTTCGCAAGGCCCCGAACTCGCCTTGCTCGACACCACCATCGCCCCGCACAAGACCCGGCTCTCCTTAAGCGCTGGGTCGTGTCGGCAGGCCTTCAACGAGCCTGGGCCGCGCCCCAGATCTCACCGCGGCAAAGCCTCACTTGCTTCCCGGTTCGGCTCAACCTTTCACCGCGTCGTAGGCAGCCGGGCCTCCAGCAAACGCTAGCACGAGGCCGCTTTCTCTAGCGACGCAAGCCGCGTTGCAAATAAATTTTTAGGTAAAGTCGCTAAAAGGCAGGTCGTTTTGTTGCTAGAAGTCGTGAAACGACCTTGTGACAAAAGGATGTTGATGTCATTTTGTAACCATGACGCAAACTGCGTAGAATACACAAATAAATTACTCGGATTTTCTGAATTAATTTTCGCTAGCATTTTTTCCTGTATTTTTAAATTACACATTTCACTCAAATAAACGGATGAAAAAGATTGAGTTTCGAGAAAATAAGTTCAGCTATGTACCTAAATGATTAACGATTATAGGCACAAACTAACAACTAGGTTTATCATAAAAGAAACCATTATTATCGAACAAGTGCAACCTAATTCACATGTGACGTGAGTATTGCTAGGCACCTCTCTCCAAGTCTCTAGCCGACTTGCCGCTTGGCTAGCTTTTCAATACTTTCTTCTTTGGGTGGTTAAGAGGAAAATGCACGTATTTAACATCTAATAACTTTTTAAAGATGCTAAAAGTTGCCAAATTTTTTTAATGGGTAAATTCGTTACTATGTGCTTTGGAAAACCAGTTGCTAGAGGAGAAAAGAAAAAAAAAAGGCCATAATAATTGGTCCAAATAAAGTATCAAAAGCAAGTAACCATATGGTTCTGTTGAACAACACTTAACCTAATGCATTATGAACAATATAATGTACATCCACATTATACCAAAAGCCTACAAAGGGCACCAATGGCCCGACAATTGTTTCTACATGTCACTGTGCAATCTAATCCTTGTATGGCTAAACATTTAATTCAAATGTCCACTTAATCTTGAATATTTGGCTATTTCTTTACGACAGAAATGCTACAGCAATCGTAAATACTTGAATGCGGACATCAAAAGCCATTTTTCTGAGGTTTTCATTACGTTCAGCCGTTTCACTGAAATAATCTGTTCAGCTTTTCCCCCATAGGCGGCGTGAATTAAGTTTCAGGTCCTTCCACAAAATTACAATTGGATTAAGGTCCAGAATTTGACTCAGTCATTCCAAAACATTAACTTTGTTCTTCTTTAACCATTCTTTGGTAGAACGACTTGTGTGTTTGGGGTCATTGTCTTGCTGCATCATCCACTTTCCCTTGAGATTCAGATCTCGGACAGATGGCCTGACATTTTCCTTCAGAATTTGCTGGTATAATTCAGAATTCATTGTTCCATCAATGATGGCAAGCCATCCTGGACCAGAAGCCATCCTACCACCACCATGTTTTACTGATGGGATAAGGTTCTTATGCTGGAATGCAGTCTCCTGATGATGGGCTCATAAACATTACAATTAGCCAATGTGAGAAAGGTCTTTAGTTACTTAGAAGTTAGCCTGCAGTCCTTTGAAACCTAATGGACTTTTACACGTCTTGCTTTTAGAGTGTTCTTTGGTAGAAGAACAGCTAATCCTAGAGATTCACATACTTTTGCTGCTCACAGATATGTAATATTGGATCATTTTCCTGAATAAATAAATGACAAAGTATATATTTTCATCTCATTTGTTTGATTGGGTTCTCTTTGTCAACTTTCAGAGCTTGCATGAAAATCTGATGATTTTTTTGGGTTATATGTATGCAGAAATATAGACAATTCTAAAGGGTTCACAAACTTTCAAGCAGCACTGCATTTTATGCATTCTGAATAAAATCTTAGTGGTGTCTTGGGTGCTTCTTAGGCGTTTTTATTCTGATTCCTAGAAATGGTTTGGATCCCTTCTTCCATGTAAGTCTATGATAATTATTATTATAATTTTTTTTTCTATCAGGTATAAATCTTAAATGTAACCACAATAGAATCACATCTCTCTACAAAAAGCCACACAATTTGAGGTATTATTTATTGGTGTGGAGTTGAGTGCCAAAGTTTAGGATTAAGGTTTTTTTTTTTTTCATGTGAGCAATTGTAATATGAACGTTTGTCTTAGTAAGCACCACTAATAATTACTTTTTAAAATGTTAAAGGTTGTTCATAAAATATTTTAGCAACAATTTTGACTGATTGCTCAGATTGTGGAAAATGAAATATAGAAAACACACATACCTATCACTTTGTCCTTCTTCCCATTCCTTATTGGAGTGCACAGTAGACTTTTGATTTGACAGTTTGAGGGTTGTAGATTTTCACTCTTTTAAAAAGAAATACAATGAAGAGATGGTCAAATAAAATCAGTTTAAAGCAACTTTGGGAAAAGGGGCAGTTCATAGCACAAAATGGGGGAGGTGAATGTCTTGAATGAATAAGAGCTCTGTGAAATCCTAGAAACATCGGGATCCCAGAGTGGGATTACCCTATGCCAATTTGACTTTCCTGTCCAGCTTTCCCCTGAGTACTTACTGTCCATGGAAATCGCTGGTCTTTGGTGACATCTGCAATGTTCAATGGCTCCATAGTGTTCTTGACATACTGGGCATACATATAGTTAATCTTGTTGACATCACACTCTCTGTAAAAGACAGGAAAAAAAGTTTAAGCACCCCTGCTGAAAACTTCACTACACGTAATTAAAATGTATCTCATTTGACGTGCAGCGTTGCTAATAAAATGATGATAATAAACAATATGGCAAAAGGTTTTGGAAATAGAAACCATGTTAAAGGAATAGTCCACCCAAAATATCATTTCTGTCTCAGTTTACTTATTCAAATGTTTTTCCCCCTATGGCTATGACATGAGTATGAGTTGATATACCGATAAGGTAAAAAATATAGTAAGTTTTAAACCTCACAATTTTACTATACTCTAATTACTATTTTGAAAATTATAACGCGTTAAATTACTCCATTACTAAAAAAAAGTAATCAAATTACAGTAACGCGTTACTAAGTAATGCATTACTGCCCAACACTGGCTGTAGCTATATACATTTATGTTATGGCTATGTACAGATGAATGTGAGTTTACATACACAACTGACACCTGAGGCCTGTTGCACGAAGCCGGTTTCGGTTTTTACCCAGGTAAGTTTGCATTTAGTTTGAGCAAACTCTGAGATTTCGGGCTCAAGAAGGTGGGTTGGATTTGAGAGGATTTCATCGCCAAGGTAACTTACACTTATACGACTACCCTGCTCCGGAGCAGGTTTTATTCTGGGTTAGAGATCACAAACCCGAATTGGACCAATCAGCTGTGAGCAAAATGACAAATATCTAATGCAATAAAGCCACTCACCCTGTATCTCTTGCTTCAAATTAAAGCAGTTTAGAGTGAAATAATTTTTGCAACAAAATTGCCTGTATTTTGCGGCGAAATATTTATTATATTTATTTTATATGAATTAAAATTATTTATAATTCATATTCAAATAATTATTATGTGAACTGGCAATTACTATTAAACTTTACATTTAAATTAATTTAAAATTATACATATAAATAAGTTTTAATATATAAAGCTCTTAAAATAACTAAACTTGTCTTTTTTAAAGGTCTTTGCATACTACATAACCAGTCAATAACTTTATTTAACACTGTACTGTTATTCAACTATCAAAATGAAATATATATTTTTTGGCATGTCATTTCTTTTTACAAAGTAGTAAGCTACAGGATAGTTATTAGATAAAGAACTATAGAACAGTAGATGTAAGTTTCCAAGTTCAATACAACTTAAGATCTATTAATAGCAGAATGCCTCAGTAGAATGCATTCAATTACCACAGACAACAATACTGTTGTTGTCTGTGGTATAAACCCTCAGTTTATAAAAACAAAAATCACATTCACAGCAACGCAAATATTATATTACATTTGGTAGATGCAACTTTTGTAGAGCAACGTGTGATGGAAGTGCATGGGGCAAGGCATTAAAGGATCATGAAACCCCAGACTACTTTTTCTGAGATTTTAGCAGAGGTGTTTCCTACGATCCCTGCCAGTACGAGACTCGAACCCGCAACCTTTGGGTTATGAGTCCGACTCTCTAACCATTAGGCCACGACTTCCCCACAAAGACAATGTTAGCATCCGATAATTTTAGCTGTTGGAGAAAACTGGTTAATTTTAAGCTTTTTTGCGCTATTTTCATCTTCCGGGTCCATAGACTGTAAAAAAACATGGATGTAGTGTCTGTGATGTCACTCGTAGGTTTCAGAAGAGCATTTTTGAAGCCTAAAGTGGGCGGGGCCGACCGCCGCCATCTTGGCAGCGCGTCATCTATGGTGACAGCAGTGCTGCCGTGCAAAGACAAAACACCATAACTTCGTTTTTGGTCGAAATGAGTTATTGATAATTTTGGGACATATATTACCTGCTTTATCATGTGTATAAGTATCTTGGAGAAAAGCACAGGAGAAACCAAGGCAGAACACAGTATCATCAGTTACCGCTCTTTTACTTTGTTTTAGATCGCTCAAATTAAGTTACGGTGCTCTGCATTT